TTAGAAGGAACACAGTTAAGATTTTAGACATAAGCTACAATATGATAAAAGGGTAATGACCAACATCGCAGAGTCGAGGAGTGCACCCAGATTACGCAACTTACGATAGCACCATGCAAAAACGGCACTTCCGATACATTAGTATTCAACAATGAGGCTTAACGGGCGATAAGACTAAACGGTAGTATTAAAAGAATATAGTAATATAAGAATGCCAATTTTTCAGATTGTTTACCATCAACATACGGGTTATAAGTCACACGGTGCATGTTAGTAGTTGCATTAACTCGTCCTTGTCCGTCGCTGTTCTCTGCTGGTTAGGATACAAATGCGTCCATCGGACAATTTTGCATTATGTTTTATATAATATTTCAGGGTCAGCAATAGTTTTCACCTACATCTTAAATGCGTAAGCAAACGTTGGTCCTGCAGTATCTTAACCAATTTGAATGTATGTAAATTTCAGTATCTCAATGATATTAACGTACGTTTGCAAAGTGAATGCTTTGAGCAGCCTTCACATAAACTATTACATACACATTTTAATGTTATAAACACGCACGCATCTGTGTTTGGTTGCTGTTGGTTGAGGTGACATGACCTCGTTGTGATGACTTAGCCTCGACTGAGCTATGTTTGAAAGAACTAGGATGTCATCACTTGCGTTAAATTTGCGGACACAATGTCTTTCCGGCCAACTCAACGTATTCAGTGTTGGCTCCTTAGAATAGGTAATTGTTGTTGATAGTCACGTTGTTCAGAAGATCCATGATATGGATTGGTCGAATTATTGGCTTCACCAATGGACTCACTGCTGGTCAAGGAATGCGTTACGTAATCTCGCCATGGATATACATATATATATATACATATATATATATATATGTATATGATACTACTTCACCGCTGTTGGGCTAAACCAAGTTTCACTTAAACTAGGTCATTTCAATCTGGATAAAAGTCATTTCTTTTTATTGCTTTTGTACAATTTTGTTATTCTGCTGCAAATTGTTTGTCAATTTTGAGTTTATTTCTCCTTAAATGCTATATTGTTTGTTTGATATCACGTTGTGGCTACTTTTGATGTGAATATTGACCAGGTGCCTACTTATCTACCACACTCCATCTCCATTACCCTTCTCCAGTAGACTGTGAATCGTTGCTGGAGGGGCGGATTACACAGTCCTCCTGGTTGCGCTAGGCCTACAAAGTTGTTCTATCCACGATGGAGCGGAGTACGACCCAGCCACCACCTTGCGTAGGTCTGGTACTCATGATTTCCTACGCAGATAAACAGGAATACTGCTGCTGTGCATGTTGAAGCAGTGTGGGCCGGCTCCGTTTGCTGAACGTGGCTCCAATCCATATGCCTCCTGGTCTAATTCCTTAGGGTTTACACTGGATTTGGGGTGTGTGCATGGAGCTGTGGGTGGTGCAGTGCAAGCCACTCATGGTCCCACTGTAAGCACAGACGTCCTGTGGTTGTCCTTGGGGAGGCCACTGTTGCAGGCAAATCAGGAACTGGATGCTGTCAACCATATTTTCCCTATGAGTTGGCAACCGCTATTTGTCAAGTTATCAGCGATGCCATACCAGTCCAACGTAAGGGAAAATGTGCAAGCCCTTGTGTTCTATGTCACATACTGCAATGGGCGTGGTTGAAGTATGGACCGCGATGGAAGCATGCTTGCACCGTAGGACAACTGCGCGTTTAGTTTATCGCAAGCCAATTTCTGTCTGGCTTCATTTGCTTGCTGCGTTTCTCACACCGTATTATGCCCATCATACACACTCGGTTTTTGTAACAATAGTATCAGTCCAAGTTAACTTATTTCCTAAACCAGGTTTACCAAATGTGGAGATCAATAAGTTAATAAAACGTGTTATCGGAAAAACCGGCCTATTCACTGACTAGGTGAAGATTTGTCCATAAAATCAGTCGAAGTGATTTGTTCAAGCATATAACGGTCAAAGAGTAGGTTACCTCATACAAATTTCAGAAGGTTGGAGATACCTTTCAGTTCCCCCGGAAACGGAGAACTGTTATGTTTTTTAAGGGATTTGTAAAGAAGGGAGAACGCGCCAAACACGACACACATGATGAAGGTGTTAACGATGATAGGACTAATAATGGACATGGTGGTTAGTTTATTTGCTGACGAGGCTTGCATCGCCATGTTCAACACTATGTGAACAGAATACACAGAGTGATGCAGTCAGCAATGCATATGACGGTGGTCTATTAACCCGCTCAAGGAATGCTTGCAAACAGATTCAGTAGGGAAATAAACTGCGGCACTGTCATTGGTGGTTTAAGAAAAAAGAGATCTGACCTCTATCTCGAATTCCCGTCGTTGTGCCTATCCTCCAAGTTAGTTGTACATTGACTATCGGATGTTTTATTTTGTCCGATAAAGTTCATGAATCCAACGTATATCATTCCCTAGTAAACGAAGCAATCAGCTGCGCGTACGATGAATGCTGTTAAAATGTATGCAACCAGCCTATCCTGAATCAACATTTCCATGTATGTCCACAATCTAGAGAGTCTACAGTTTAATAAATTGCAATTGGAGCCGTTGTCACTGCTTCTCAAAAAGTGTTAGTGGGGAAGTTTTGTCGAAACCCAGCTAGCCGAACTGACGCGAGCATTCACTCTTGCCAGTGACACCAAAACCACGCTGGTTCATCTTGCACAAATATAAATGAGCTTTAAATCGAAGCCTCCGGATATGTTACCGAAGAAACCAGAAAGCCCTCAAAGCATTGAGATCCAATCCAAAATTGATGCTATTCCGGCCAGAGAATGGATAAGTCGTTATGGATAAATCTGACTAAATCTACACAACTCACGTCATTTTAAAAGACTTCAGCAAATTCATGGGTAATAGAGTTCATGCGGAAAGAACCGCACGAGATGAGGTGAAAATAACGAAGTTGTTGAAGGAATCAAAGCAAAAGAGTTTAATAAATGACACGCTCCCTGAATGCTTAACTTCAATCAGCCCGCAACTACCACGCGTGCACCGACGGCTCAAAGTGCACACACTACATATTCCGCCGAGCCCAATTATTGACTTGTCAGACACCTCATTCCACGCGGTTGCGAAGTAGCTTGTAAAACTGCTGGAGCCTATGCGCAAAGTGTTGCCACCTTACTCACTTAAAAATTTTCGTATTTGGTAGACGCGTGGAAAACGTGAACGTAAATGGCCTAGTGAAGCTTTCCTTTGACGTTAGATTGTTATCCACCAAAGTCCCCTTGATTAAAATCGCTCATTTCCATAGGGAATATTTTAAGGAAAAGAACATGGATGTTGGTACTACTGAGTGTGCATTGAAGAATCCAGTATTGTACTGCACGTTTGGAAGACTGTTCTTATCTCGTAGAGCTTATTATGGGCAGATTCAGGGCGTCGCAATGGGCTCTCCTCTGGAGAGTCCTCTTGCTGGCATCATCCTGCCTAAACTTGTACGTGGGTCTACTCAGCCTGTTATCGCTACATTTGATGCATCTTTGCCATACTTGAATGATACATTTATTGTCTGTGATTCAGGTGTCTATGTAACCTGTATGATTGCTTATTTAAGCAATACACATCCATCGTCGAGCTTCATCTGTGAAATTGAAATCAACGACAGGCTAGCTTTTCTGGGCGTTTTGCTAAAGTGACGGGAGGATGGTCCACTGGCGAAAAGGGTATTGCAAAAAATTACGTGGGCGGACCAGCACACGCACTTTAGAAACTTTTACCACTACAATAAAAAAACCCTTAGTTCACTTCATTTCTTGTCGTATTACCAAGTTGTCATTCATTGATACTGGAAGAAGATAATGAAAGCATCATTTCAGATTTGCAAATAGATGGCTAGCACATCCTGTTCATAAGATAGCACACCACTATCTGTGTGCGTCGGTAAACTAACATTAAGGCTCCTAAAATGGATTTCTATTTCCCTGTCTTGTTCAAAGGGATGTCACATCGATTTGCTGAGCAGAAGGCTATAAAGTGAAGTAGCCCAAACCTAGCTAGCATCCTACCGGAAAGTTGTCGCCAAGGCTACGTTTCTTACACACTGCACCTTAAATATACACTTTCACGACATTATAAATCGTATATCATATTTTTATGCAACAATATCTGTGGCGTAAGGTGAATTGCACACACGACAAAGTGTTTGTCAATATGGATAGCTGAGCATTAACCGAGGTCAATAAGGAGGGGTTTAGTTGAAAAATTTAACATTAACAACATGTAGCACTTGTTCAAAAGCAGGCACAAAGTCCGATCCTCTGGTTCATTCAAAGCCTTCACCTTGTTCAACAGGTAACTCAAAAATACTTGGAAAACACCTACTAAGGAAAGGCTGAAGCCATTGCAATTAGGGTGATGCAGCCGGAATTCTACAAACAGAAAGCCCTTGTGCAAGCGCTCTTCTTGCAATCGCCATGCAGCAACTCCTCAGCGTTGGTCAACGGTGGCGGTAGAGCGCGACCGTTTTGCCCCATGGGCTGGCATAACGTCTACATTCAAATGATTGACCAGACTATTGACCGAACGTAGCGGTATCGTTCAAACACTCCTGTTATCTGTTCTCCGTCCGGCTTTTTCTGGACTTATGGTTGCATCGATTTTATATTCTTATAACTGTAGTTGCCCAGCGAGGAGTATTGAAAACAGCTCACTTCGCAACCTTAAGTTTGTATGTTGGTTGTATCGTCAATGGGCACTAGTTACGAAGGAGCTGTTTAGAGTTGAGTTGACCATTGAGTTGAGTTGACCATGACCTGTACGCGTATTCCGAAAGATTAGCCAAATTTATGACTTAATCGCAAAGAACTAGATGACAAAGGGAAACATCTATTTTAATGACTGCTTAGTTGTTTCATAAATTCGTTTAAATTCAACCTATATTTGTTGAAGCAAAGACCGAATTCAGCTATAGGCCGCATGAGGTGCTTAGTTGCATATAAATGTATACTCAAAGTCTTTACTCACCTTAAGTTCGTCCGCCTCGATGTAGCCACTGTGATCTTTGTCAAACTCTTTCCATATCTGAAAAGAACAGAAATTGTTTCTTTTGATCTTGAGTCACCCTAATGTTAGGACAATAATCAATGCATCCGATGCATCCGAACGTCTTGTTTGTCAGTCATAAATTTAACGTTCAATACCGACTAATGTAAGGAGTGATGTTGATGCTAGTCGCTCAGCTTTTCAGACTGCACATAACTGCGTAGGGGAAATTCTGCTAAGTAGATAGATGCCAGACAAATGCATAACTGAGGGAACCATAAAAATGCCGCATGCGCAGATAAGCATTCTATAAACACGGTGCTTACCGTATGTTCAAACTGAAATACTTGCAGTCCTACGATGCTAAAAGATTCCTGTGTCCCGGTTGATTATCCAAAGCCAAATAACAACCAAGAACTCTGGTTACAAAAATGAGTAGCCAGTTTCACTCAAGGATGTCAAGGGCTGATAACAGCCCATTTGGAAACACGAAAATTCATTCCAATTTAATCCAGTTGATTTGATATACGATAGATTTCACCCTTGCTTTATGCATCAAAGTGGACTCAATCAAATGTTGAAGCCAATCTGTGTACGTTAAAATTGATGATATATTATTCTACCATAAAGCAATCAAGAACGGTTAGCCAAGATTTTGAAATACTTGTGACTTTTCCACTTGAAGAGACCTTCACTTTGGTCTACATCGACTAAACTTCAGCGATATCTTGCTGATTTTAGTGACGTTTTAACGGAGAAACATTGAAAGTCTAGCAATGCAAGTTATGGGTGTCAATCAATAAGACTTCTGTGCGAGAGGACATATTCACACCAATGAGGGCTACACATCAGGCCTTAACGAATGCAACAGTTAAAACGAAGAAATGTTACCTTAACAGTATGCCTGAAATGGCAGCGAAAATTTTACTACGCTTCGGAATCGTCGTTTTCTAACAACGAAACGGAAAATTCGAAGTAAGCTGTTATAAATGGTAGATAAACGTAGCAAAAGACACACCTCACATGATCTACAAGATGTTGCCGCAACTTAGCGAAGTTCCCTCAGATCACAGACAGTGACTTGCTAGTCGCCGTCAAACTATCTGACGAACAAACTTGTGTATCATGTGTATGCGCCTTGCGCGAATATCATCATGCATTGGAGAGTTGGATACAAGGAGAACGCAGCCTGTTCAACATTGACCAATATTAGCCTAGCTTACTTAATTCACTGCAATGCTTTGAAAAATTTTGTGTGTGTGTATTAGCCAAATGAGAATTGTAGAAAGACATTTCTTCGCCGCATCGAGCAAATATAACATAGAACAAACAGGAGAAAATTTTGACACAAGGCTACATAAGCACAATCTAGCTATTCGTAGCCGTTGTCAGTATTCCATGAGATCCATGTATTTGGATACGGAAGAAGCCACTATTGGGCATGCACATGTACACCATGATCCTCAGAAGAACCAGAAGCTGACAAGCACTGAAGTCTGCCATTCAACGAAAAATCTGAGCTATAGGCACCCGGATATTAAGCTTGCTTACGATGCACTGAGAACAACGCCATTTTGGTGGCACCAACGATGTTGCATTTATTGGTAAAATATACCTCTGCAAGTTAATCGATCAGCAAGGAGACCATAACGAAATCCAACCAAAAGTAAGATGAGACGCAAATATTCAAAACAATCAAATTTTCTCAGCTAAGCGACATCTCCCAAATAACAAAATTGGTGCTTCCTATTAATATCCATCTAGAGAGAAGAGAAGTTGGTTAAGAGATAATCCTATTGTTTTGACTTCTTGGGTGCATGGAGGCATAGCATATGGGTAAAACATTTGCACAAATCCACGAGGAAAGGGCTGTTTTGATCGCAGATGGCCTCAAATCTCACGAGCGCCTCACGCCTTGACTTTGAAACGCAATGGGTGCACATTCTCAGTGCCACGTAAAATTCTGGAATGCTGATCTGTTGTTTCCCCTGTAGTTCTATCAACCAATGGATCTCTGCACGATCCCTTCCACATCTCGAAGCTCGTCGGGCAATTCCAGCTGGCGTTGCGTATCAAACAATAAGCTGGACCACTAACGCCGGACTCAAACAGCTACTTTGGAAGGAATACAAGGCCTAGTAGACGCAGCGGGCCGTTGATGTGGAGCACGCATCCAGCTCAGAAAATTTACGAAATCGTTTCCAACTTATCCGATCCCTTGGCTGCAAAAGGCCGATCATAAGGGAAGTTATGTGCGAAAACGATGGCGAGTGAATCCAGTACAAACATCATCGATTTGTGCGTTGGGCTGAGCACTTTGAGCGGCAGTTCAAATGACATGCAGCACCAGTGATCCAAAATTCGGGAATCCCTAGTGATTGCTGGTGTGTAGACGTTTCACCACCTTCTTAGGCTGAGGTTGCTCCTGAGCTTCGTCTCCTAAATCGCTGCAAAGCTCCTGGCCCGGACGAACTCCCTCCGGCTTTATTCAAAGATGAAGGTCCATCAGTTGTTTGGGAGCTAACTTCATTCCTCAATCAATCCTGTCCATCTGGAATGTCCCGGATATTGTGCCAGTCTTTAAGAAGGGTGCCCAGATGAACTACCCTAAACACAGAGGGATTAGTCTCATCTGCTTTACCTCTCAAGTGTCTGCGCTCTGCTTTCAAGGAGGTTCAGCCTAGTACGCGTATAAAACATACACAACGCGCAACCTGGTTTCCGCGCTGGCCGGAGGTATATCGACTCCCTCTTTACACTCCGCCAAATACTCGAGCGTCGTCAAAGGTTTGGCCGGGCAACGATCGAGTTCTTCTTAAACGTACGTGTTGCGTTTAACTCAACTGTCTGAGCTGCTCACTGGAGTTTTCTCTTGAGAAGGGGAGTGTCTGAGAACGATGTCAACATTTTTGAGCCATCTACCCTGGAACCACGGCCGGAGTGCGGGTGTATGGCGAAGTTCTGCCGCCCTTTGGCATCACCAGTGGTGTGAGACGGGGCTGCCCTGCATCACCCTTCCTGTCCTATTTCGCTATCGATGACATCTTGAAAACCACACTGGAGCATGTCAGAACCAGCGGCGTTGAACTGCTTCCAGGGGAACCGACTTCGCAATTTGGAGTGTGCAGACGAGATCGCTGTAATTTGCTCTTTCTCACAGGCTGCCCAAAATAAGCTGTGCAGCTTGGCGGTGTCTGCACCACAGTTTGTAATGACTTTCTCCCCTTTGAATTGTAAGTTCAACCTATATGACTGGCCAGGATCTGCTCCAACCCTAACCTCTTAAGGTCAATCTCTGCAAGTGGTGGACAAGTTTGTTTACCTCTGAAGCTGCACCAGTGCTAACAGTTTAAAGGATGAGGTCTCCTTACGCGCCTCTAAAGCCCACGTTGTGTTTGATAATCTCCGCCATCGCTGGCCTCGCCGTGATCTGAGTCCATCCTTGAAGAGTCGATTCTACAATGCCACGGTGAGCGCGATCTTGCTCTAAAGTTAAGAGACTTGGCCTGTTCGCGCAAAAGACGATGATAGGCAGTCTTGCTTTGGTCACCGCTGACCTTTGAGCATTGTTGGTATGTGGTGGTAACACCACATTATTAATCTGGATATTTGCCTTAGCATTTTTAAATCGGACGGACTTTGCCGGCCGCTGATTCGTACAATTTCATTGCACAGGCTTTGGTGGCTTGCGCACGTGCTTTGCATTCCTAATGAGCGTCTGTTCCATTTGCACTAGTTGCACACACACATGGCGGCTGGAAGCGAAGTCAAGGTGGTTAGCGAATGACTTGGGCCAAAAGTATTAAGGCGTTGACTTCATATTTGGCCACGGTCGGGCATTCTAGACTCCCGGATAGGGGGCCTAAAGACCGTGAACACACTTGGCTGGAAACCCTATCGGACATGTCAAGGAACCGCGAGCGGTGGCGAACATGTTGTGAGACACTACCATGATGACTCCTGATTTGAAGTTTCTTTCCTTAGCTATTTCCTTCTTGTTAAGGTAATATTATGTTTTTCCATATGTTGTGGAATTCTGTCAATCGTACTGTTGACTGTGTTCAATATATATATATATATATCTGTATAAATTGTGTCAAATGACTAGCCAGTAACCTTAATATATTCTGCAGGATAAAACAAAAATGATGTTAGTGCAAACGGCTTAGGTTCACCAAAAGTGGTGGGTCACACGTAGTTACTACAACGCGGAGAGAATAATTGAGACTTACATGCTTGCTGTTTGTTGAAAATTTAGCAGTTAGAAGGCAACTCGTTCTGTAGAAACATTTAGACATTGCTCTTGCATTGCAATAGGATTTTTATTTACTATATTTAAGAAGCGGTTCCAATTATGCTGGCAATGACAGCGCTATAGATTATGGAGATCGAGCAGTTGTCTGCTACAATTAACCGCGGTGTCTCTTCAAATATCTTCATCCGTTATGGATCTGATGATTGGATTCACAATGCTCGCTGACCTAAACAAGCAATATTGGTGAGTAATCCGGAAAGGTTTTAGGATTGTGGTGGTTTTGGCGTGGACTTTCGTATCCCTTTGCCCCCTTTACGCCTAAGTCCAAATTTGAGCTTGAACCATTCCTTTTCATCTTGTGTATTATGCTAAGAAAACTCTACGAAGTTGCAATTTAACAGTGCGGGTACATATGTTCAACTTCTTACATACTGCCTACTTGATTGAAAAAATATAGCTATTGTTAAAGATAAACGGTGTTTTAATACTTAGCCGGAGCCGAATGTTGTTATTAGTAGTTACATCGTTACTCTATTTTATGCACATAGCAGACGCCTCAGTAGCAGCCAGTATGCCTTCCGGTGACACCACCAAAACGACATGTTTCCTGCTTGGAGTAATGTGTCATCAATGCGACGCAACCTTTCGTGAAAACCAAGCCGCTTATGCAGTTTTGTTGGTTTGGGAGTGAAAATTTACATAAAAATAATGACGAATTTAGCAGCCGGCTCACTTTCATGAATTCAATACTCGATCTGATTTTGTGGTCATCTTGAAAGATTACAAGAAATTCTTCATCTGTTGGTAACAGTTGCGCCATCTGTAGAAGGTAGAAGAAGTGCAAAAATAGGGATCGCAATATGTTAATTAATTGTAACCTGAGGCGTTGTCGAACTGTTCTGACAGTCCTGAAAACATTACAGCTAAGAAAATAAACCCTTTACTTTTCGCCGTATCTGGACATAGGAGAGGGCAATTTGCTCGGGGGAATTTCCATGTAAGTTTAAACAAAACCTAGTTGGTTACACGAAGTTCAAGGAGTAACACAGTTTTGTTTTTCGATACCAACCTTCAATCCATCGAAGTTACTGTTTCGTCGTCTCATACCTACTAGCACAGCTTTAATCTAACCCAAAGTTTACTAATTTGAAAGTAGGTGGTATTAACGATAAGCAGCCGCGCTAACCTTGCACGACATTGCTGGACTCGGCAGCTGTGGATAGCCTAATGACATGGAACCCTTTAAGCAGTACTACGTTATGCGGCTTCCTCTAACTACAAGATTCAATGTAGGATTGCAGAACGCACCATCTGGAGCGAATGGCAGATAGAAAAACTCAGTTAAGGTTTGGTAGCATTAACTGCGGGCTATTGACGGTGGTGTCCATGGTAATCTGTTCAGGCCTTGATGGAGACGATAATGTCCACTATTTACGAGTCCCGATAGAACAAGTCAGGTGTTTGTAAATGTCCTATCGTACTGATGGTTATCGGACTTGTAAGCTGTCGCATAGTACCTATATTAAGTGAAGCCAATAACACTTCACGAAGTAGCTCAGGTAGCGCCGCGATTATTGGTCAACTGAATAATATTTGGTCCACTTTTGTTCCATTACGACAACGACTTTTGTTGGGGGATATTGACGTTAGGTAACATGGGGAAGCTAGGTGAATACTTAAATACTAGGAGGTTGAGTGATTCGTAAGCGTCGATGGAATGACATGTGTTTAATAACTACCTCATTTTGAAGATGCGATAGGGATACCAACGTGATTTTAAAATTCATCAAACTGATATGGCAATTTAAACGGCCTCGTTGTATGAATGCATTACGACGCGCTTTCTCTTTGTAGACCGCGATTCACACTGAAGTGGATCTTGGGCACCGCGATCATAGGGACTGTAGCTGCGCAAGCTCTGCCAGCCGTGACCTAGTAAAGCAAGGGTCCGAGGTTTTAGCTAATGTTTCAATGATCCTGCTTTCGAGGCACACTATCTCCTACCGATAACAGCAAACTAGGTCGGAACATGTAGCAGAGTGCACTGTTTTCCGGCGGGTAACCCCCTATTTCCGTACGTTTTAGCTACGGCCCTAGTGTAGGGACACAGACTGCAATGATCGCAGGCGGAACGGACAAGCCACGAAAAGTAAGAAAGATGCAAAGTAACGAGGACGCCAGAGAATGAAAGTCCACAAAGCAGATCGAGGCCTAGGGAAGAAGCTGGAAATTATCAACGAGCCACAAACGATGTCAGGCCAGAGCCGAGAAATGCGGAAGGCTTTGTACTGTACAGCCCGACTTTCCTGGATTGATCCGCCTTTGGCTGCGCCTCCAACCATAACCACAAGTAGAGCAACGCAGCTCCGATTAAGCAAGTCAAGGGCATTAAAACAAATCCAATCCGCTCAGAATAGGAAGTGCAGAAGCGAAGAAAGGAGGGCAAATCGGCGAACAGTAAAATCTCAGATAAGCCGAAGTCGAGGCATGAATATGATACATAGTAAAAGCGCAAGATGTGGTGTATGGTGGTCAGGAGATCTCCTCTAATAGTGCACGGGCGTGCTAACATGTGAACCCGTTTTGCATTGTCAATAAAGATTGTGTGTCCCTAGCTCTCGATCTCGCTGCCCTAGTGATCAGGTTCGCCAAAGTTCGCTTCCATGAGAGTCACAGTCCACTTTCAGATTGCGCATCAAAATTCATTCACACAGTGTGTACTTAAAATGACCCTGCTCAATCGTTGTGCAAAGCCTTGCCCGCTGTGGCGAGGTAGCCAAACTAGTAAACGTTTCGGATAATATTTTATTGGCTGGTTCCTCGCATGTTATCTATACTTGGTGAAAAAAACAAAGTCGGACACGTATCGAATTGCAGTATTTTCGGGCAGGCAACACCCACTTTCCATGCATCAAGATTAGGTTCAACAAATTCGTAAGGTCGGAATTTGTTAAAAGTTGTGTAACTAAACGATAGGTTACGTGTAGTGGCGGTCGGTCACACTTTGATTGAATAGCATAGTTAAAGCGCTCTAAGCATGCCATGAATTTGGGAGAATCAACAGCTTCTCAACATGTAAATTAAAAAGGCAACCTTTGCTAATCCATTAGGAGTAATAGCCTTCAAACCAGTTGCGTTAACATACTTTCTCTAAGCTCGCAGATGGTCAGCCGCTAGGTGCTAATGACGCACTTTTGGTCAACATACGCTTTCACTGAACCATCAACCAGAGCAACTAGCTCAATTAAATGCATTCTGGTGGCTAGAGCACATCGATTGGATCTGTTAAGGTTGAAACGCTTGTACTTACACTTGCGTGCCACCGAAATAAACAAGTAACTCCTGGTCGACGACGGTGGATCGTCATTACCCATTAAGTACTGCTATATAGCGCAGCTCATTTTCCAGGTTCATAAACGAAATGAATGTTCCAAAGACAGAGACGGTACCAAGTGCCATCATACATTACGCAAACGCTCTTGGCTTGCATAATATAAGGAGCAGGTTGAAAGATTATTTTAACTTTCAGATGGTCAAGTTTCGCTCGACAAGTTTGCTGTGTGTAGCCCGTCAGGGTTTCTATATGGCAAGTCAAATGGTACGATGTCATCAAGCACAGCCTAAAAAGTCATTGTCATTTCCGCTTGCTTTACCTTCCCATTTCGTCTTCGTTATCGTTAGAGCAACCACTTCTCGTGCATGTTTTCACCAAATATCCACACACCTCATGCTCGGTCCTCCAACGGCAGTTATGACCTCGCTGTCCAGCCCACTATAAGGTGCAAGTCAGGCGCACCCACTATCCGGTTCCGACCCTAAGTAGGTGGTTGTAATGTAATTATCCAGCCGCCTACGAATTATCTCTTTTGTCTTTCACTCACCGTCTATTACGGTCTAAGGAATTTCTCGGAATGTTCAACTAAACGCATACTATACCACGTGCGCTAAATGAAGCTTCTACGTTCTCGCTTGCTTACGCACTCCCCGCTCGCAACGGATTGAATGAACGTTTGTCGATTAATCGATAACACATATTACGCCTGCTAAGAGACGATTCAGTAGACAGAATACACATTCTCAAGGTCGTCGTGTGTTTGTTCAGATTACAGTTCGTGGTTTTGGGGTACTGCTGCAGTGCTTGGTTTGCGGATAGGCCCATTGCGCTTATTGGGATGCCAAAATGCTCTCCTCAGGTAAGTGGAGTCGTTGTAGAGAACTCTGAGCAATCTGCGATGAGCCCACTGATAAAACCACCTCGTATTTAATAAATTTGCTTATATCTGAATTGATAGGTTTATTAAACGTTAAACTTTCCAGCAGCTTTTATGCTTTGAATACTGTTTAATGGAAATATGTAAACGTATGATCCCTAATTCTGACCGTTACTAATACGAAGCATTCCTCTCCGGGAAGTTCTATCATATATTTTTTATGAGTACAGTGCAGTGCAACTGAGCACAGTGATCTGCGCACTCTTCCCCCCGCAAAATGCAATACTGCTAGTTGACTGCAGATGCAAATGCTACGGAACAACAGGACACGGCGCAGCAGGAAATGTGGGGATCTGTTGGCTCACAATATGTCGGTGTTTTTGTTTTCATGGCATTGCTGTAGGTAGGCTGGTAGCATCAGCCAACTCTTCTTGATTTCTTACCGCTCCAATAGACATATATATATATATATATTTACTAACCAAGAGAACACGTCGCGTTGAACGAGGGTAATCAGTGATTCAACATATGTTAGTATTTAGCACGAAAAATCACATGGCTTCTATCGGATACACATTACGTCTGGGCTTAAGTGTAATATCCAAACTTCCCGCTTGATGATGTACAACACGTTGATGATCGAGTAATGTTGCACGAAACATAGGTGGAGTAAGGCAGATTTGCAGTTCAACAGCAGGATTTAATTTGTCGGTAATCTTTATGCCCTAACCTAACGTCAAGGGTCGTTTGTAGTAGAATGTTTTGGTCTGTGTCACATTATTGATCTTGTCAGCACTGCGAATGCGATAGTAGCAATGTCAAGAAAGATTCTTTATTTACTGTTAAAGTTTCATCGTTTGTGTCCTCAATAAGTTCCGTTTAGGTATAAACGCTTGATTAATAATAAAACATGGACAGGCAACATGGGCAGGTTTTGTAGAATATAGACCTCGTGGTATAGATTGAAGTAACCATCAGTTCCACATTTTCAGTGGCGCAAAATAGGCTAATACTGGATAAGGATCCATGCATTAATGTTGTGTGTCACTCGTATAAGGCTACAAGCAAGTCGACATACTTCGTATTTGATCGGCTGTACATGCGGCTAAACTACAATTATCACGGAAACATTCTAGTAAGCAAGTTGTTGTTGCCATGTTAAGCAATGTTATACCAAGGACGTAAGCGCTTTCGATGGTATTCATTATCAGATTGGCCGGTATGAGTGAATGTAGTTGTACCGAAGAAATCTTACTTCTCGCAAATCGATGCGGTTGTCTTGGTTCGTATCGATCGCAGCCATAAGTTCCTTTACCAACTCCTTCTCCTCCTCTTCACACAGGCTCTGCATAAACGTAGACGGCAGGAACAAGAGGATATCAGAATTATTTTGGAAGTTACAAGAACAACAATAGTGGGATACGAATGTTGACTGACTGCATTAATTACGCAAAGGTTGGCAGCAATATCTACACGATAAAGGTGGTAGCGCCCATTGTCGACGAGCCCATTACTCAACGTTCTCCATGAAGATGTGTGCATTCTGGAAGTGCGTTAACACTTCGATTATGTTAATAGGTATCCAAGAGTGTCGGCGAGAAAACCATGTAGCCGCAGATGCTGCGTAACATTGGCATTGGATGTGAATAGGGTCCAGGGCAATCCAACCAAATACCCAAATAGCTTTTGTACATATAGTAACGAAGAAGTTACCGTTTTAGACAGCAAATCACCAATTGTTGGTAACTGAACAAATTGGTAAATTAGCAGTCAAAACAATCCGATCACGGGTTACAACCTAATCTTTTCAACTGGCTAGTTAGCGCGATATCAGTGAAATGTTACACCTCAAAAACGACCAATTGTGAACACATTGGTCATATCAATTTTCCATGATTAATCGCATCGCGTGGCTGACCGTACGAGGCTACCTGTACCAATGTAATGAACGTAAATTAAACGCGTTCATTTGAATTCCGTCTTATTACCAGTCTGGCTGCACAGAGTGGTTATTAAAATGTGACTCAAGTATTTGAATACCGGTATTCAACAAAAATCATTGATTAAAGCACACGAAATTAAATAGTGGGATAAGGTTCTGTCTGAACGTTGTGATAAAAATTTTATTGCGATTTTTGAAGAAACTTGCGGTAAATGTTGTTTCGGAGTAGAGCCAGATAAGATAATGAGGTTGAATGTATTTAAAAGTCATCAAAAAGATTGATATAAAAATTAATTCGGTCACGAGAATAACATGAAAATTACCTTTTTGAAACAAACGATTTAGTCATGTAGGAGTTTAGCTGACAAAAGCAGTCCCTGTACCGATTGTTCTTGGTCCGTGAATTGTATTTTGTTAACAAGGATTGCTGATAAAACTAGTCTAATTCATTCGCTCATGTTTCACAGGCCACAAGGGATTCAAAGAACATGATCGTGACAGTCGAAAACCATGCTGCGTACAAAAGATAAGGCTTAGGTTCTTGCGGTGGAGAAGTGCCCGCTTGAGAATCCTTGCACAATACTGACGTTAAGCAGATGGGTCGATAATTGGCAAGATGTTGACGATCCCCTCCTTTGTGTATGGGTTTAACAATCCCCACTCCAAGCAATCGGGAGCCGTCCAACTTCAAGTGAATGGCGAAATACTCGACAAACAGCTGCGGCAAAGTAATCCGCCAGTCTTGAGGAACAGCGGATGCAAACAATCAGGACCCAGTGAGGAGTTGGGATCTAATTCATGAATGCCTTTAGCAACGACATCAGCGCTCATTTCGACGTGCGCCAACGAAGTGGGGTGCGTTGACGTCGCGTCACTGGGAAACGGCGTCTCCATTGATTAAACAGATGAATATTACGTGGCCAAAACACTGGCTTTCGCAGTGTCATCTTCAAGTAAACCGACATGAGCCAAGGAATACAGGCAGGAATACCACTGCCTGCTCTGGTACTTCTTTTCAGGTAAGAGAAGAGTACCCTGGGACTCGTCTTGGATCGACCAGGCAAACGGAGTTTGTACTTATGCCCTTTCTCTTGTTTGTTTCTTTTGCACACATTTCTGACCACTTTATATTCCGAATAGTCAGACTCGGAGTGAGTGAGATTGAATCGGACCCACAGTTCCGTCCTTTGTTCATTAGGCCCCTCAGTTCTCGATTAATCCATGAATGACCTCTAGCAAAAGGTCTTTTATAGACAGGAACGACCTGCTCAATAAAAGGAATCATTTTGGAGTACAAGAGGTTCCACTCCTGGTCCAAATCCAGAAGTTCGGGTATATTCCAGTCCACAGTACTGGCGGTGGTTTGTAGGCGTTGGGGATCAACACGACGGAAATGTCTGCGGAGGTGCCTTGATTATGAAGAGTAAGGCGTCGAGTCCAGAGGAACGAAACCACACAGTGATCGCTTTTACCAAGGGGCTGAAGAACGGCTGGGCAGGTGAGAGTAGTAGGTCGAGAATATGGGATATTTATCCTGCAATTATACGAGTAGGCATTGTGACATGTTGGAATATTTTACATTCGAGAACCGTTTCTAAAAAAATCAAAAGCTTTTGAAGAGGGAACACAATGCAGTAGGTCTTAGTAGATACTCGCCGTCTTGAAGTCCCCCAGTAATAAGCAGTGCTTGCCCTCACCATGCATTTTGATCGCGTCCAGCAAGCAAGCTCCGGAACGTAAAGGGGTCCTGTAGATAACACCAACCATGAGGGATCTGCATCTGCTTTGAACGCGGCACCTGATCGTTTCGAAGTCACCATCGCTGCCACAGGTAGCTACAAGCAGATGATCCTTGAAGTCCGTCTTCCAAGTGAGTACCTTACAGCCCTCAGGTCTTCCTCCATGTCGGTCTGCCCGGCAAAGGAGATATCCACGGATCCGCCTCTCCGAGTCTAGGATATCCGAGGACAACCAGGTCTCAGTGAAAGCTATGTGATCCGGCCGGTTCATAACGGCAAGAAGCTGAACATCGTCTAGTTTGTTTCTGAGAATGCGCATATTGGAAGCGAATAGGCGCAGTCCGTTCTTCAACTCAAACGCCTGGGCATGACCAAGAGTGTTGTCTAGCGAGTTCTTTGCGTTTTTCGAAGTACGTGAAAATCCACGATATGTAGGTCCGTCTCAACGTGTTCATGACGATATCTGAGTTCATCAACCGCTTTGTTCATATTTACTCCATCTTCCGGAGAAAGGTCTCGTAGTATGAAAGGTGGTTCACCTTTAAGATGCAGAGCTCGTCGGAGAATGCGACAGACCTCACCATTGCTTTGACCTACAATCTTCAAGGGACAATCCTTGGAGGAATCCTTCTGTTCCTTGCCAAGGTGGAAAGCGAAGATGTTCATTCCTGCGTCATATTCGTCGAGCAACAAGGAGGTCATCCGTTTTAGAAACTCTTGATTATGCATAATCCTTTCAGCTGTAGTAGTTTTAGACGACTCAGAAGCATTCCTGATGGTTAGACAACGATCACGACATGGTGATTGGTTGTTATCGTGGAGATGCGGCTTGTGGGGAGGCAGACCACCCTTAAGCAGTTTTTTCAGCCGATCGACTCCATCCAGAACTAGCTACAAATGCGACTGCGAAGACAATGACATTTGTCTTGCTATTACTTTCAGCCTTCGTCACCACGGGCAGTGGCGCACACTCCTTTGCTACCGATGCATAAGTCTTGGTATTTGGGGCTTCACCGTGGTCAGCAACCATCTGCGTCGCAGAATTCGAGGAGTATTGGGCCCGGTCTTGCTTACGAGTGGGGGTAACTGGACCAGAAGCATATGTCGTGAAGCATGGGGAGGTCAAGATTGCAGTATCGCCCCTTGCCACGGTTTGAACAGAAGAAACGCGAGTTGAGTGGAGGCATTCCATAAGGCGGTGCATTGTCGATATCTGTCTTCTTTGCTGAAGTCCGACAGGCCAAGATATACTTGTCGTTAGGGGGCGGCGGAGGATCATTCTTCTTCCGCACGGAATGCAGACGTGTGGGACTTGGACTGATTGGAGGTAGGCCATCTGAAACTCGACTGACACACAGTCCAGTGCGACATGGGACTCAAATAAGGACGATGACTGAGGAAATGGTCCTCTGCAGTGGATCATACAGATCTGGACCGATGTTGTCACATGCAATATGCAGCCACCCTTCGCAGAAGCAACACTAAAGAATCTTGGACCAAGAAGTGACAGCTCCTGCTGACTTGCCGAACAACCTCCTCGTGGTGCCAGCTGGTTGGTTCGGAATTTTCCCCTTTCCAGCAAATGGTTCGGCAGCTGTGTTCCAGGACGTGGTGGGTTTTCGCCTAGCAAACGTTCTCGCTATAAAATGCCACAAAACACTCTGACGTGGCGGACGTGACTCGCTACTAAATAAAGTCACTGCCCTTTGCTTCATCATGGCGAAGCATTGAATTCCAGCAAGTTTATGCTGTAACTTTGGGGATAGTGGACCCCTATTTGACAAAGGAACAAACAAAAGGCGTATGAACTGGGCAATCAGTCACCGGCTGCCAAGTGGCGCGGTTCCCTGAATTTGCTCCGCTGTCTTGCGGGCAGGCTATTCAGCCAAAGGCTTGGGGTGGTGTCCCCTAAGTCAACACCCTACTTCGGCTTGGGTAGCCCGGTTGTATCTCGTCCTCTGACGAAACCATGGACTTTGATGTGTTGTGTAGTGTTTTCTTTTACTATTTCTGTACCTTGTTTTGCGTTCCATGGTTTCCGAAAGCTCAAAGTCAATTTATAGACAGTTGCAATGTATATATATATTTTATAACGGAGAACTCGACCGTTGTGATACATCCTGCTGGGCATTTAACATTACTACATGCATCATGAGTGATTTGGACCTAATTACATTAGTGAATATGACGTAGCTGTATGTAGACTTCGGCTTAGCGGTATCACGTGAAACACGTGACCTTGGACCACCTAACTTTTAGTCGTCAAAAGTTTCCTCATGACAGAAGTATTTTTCTAGTTAATTAGGGTATATCCTTTTTGTTGAGCTGGGCATACTTGCAATTTTCAGACTTCTGTTAGACGCAGATTCATGAGATGTAAAACCACCATAAATTAACTGGCATTATAACTCGTTGTGTGGTGACTTCTACTGAACCCCAATACAGCCACAGAATACTGGCAAAATCCAACCGCTTTATCCAATGAAATGATGCAGGCCGTCTCATGGTAAGTTCTGCAGTCCGTCGTTCTATGATGTATTTTTTGAATGATGACCGAATATACACTGCAACCCGTAATACTGCGTTAACGTTCCCACTGCCTGATTAAGTAAAGTGCATTCAAATACAACCTTTAATATTTGGCAGTTACTCTTATTACGCAAG